TATCATTTTCTATATTAATATTTTGGATTCCCATATAAAGTTGTAAATCATTTGCATACAAATGATAGTTCATGTAAGTGAGGCATCTTGGCAAATCAAAAGTAAAAATTAAAAAGAGCAGAGGTCCAAGTACACTTCCTTGAGGTATCCCTTTAACTATTCTTCTACAGTCTGAATATGTAACGTAATAATTTTCTAATATCCTCTATTTCATGAGTTACAACCGTTATAAATTTTTAAATTGTCACCCTATATAATATTATAAATAGACGTATATTCACTTTTTATATTCCCGCTAATTGCCTTTTATTTATGATTTAAGTACAACGCGTCTTGCGTGTCAAGCATAAATGAACATGTTGATTGTATGGATAAATTGCATGTCATATACAAGACTCCCGTTTTACGAATATTCAAGAGAATTTGAGTCGCATTGTTATAATATCAAAGGATCTGCGAAAGAATATAAAAGCTGTCAAAGCTAGTTTGCACAGTAGATAAACAAGAATTTCTGTTATTGTGAATGAAAATATGCTTCGGAAAATCTCTGTTTGAACCTGTTATTTGATATATTAGCGCATCTTTTTATTTAAAAAAATCAAGTAAAATAATAGGCAGTTGTCTTTGTTGAGTATATGACTATTGACGGTAATAATTTCATACAATTATAGTTAGATAGGTACAGTTTTTTTTATGTATATAAAACTGTAGTATACACTTTATATAAGATTGCGACGTGCTCAAAAGAGCACGTCGTTAACAGCAATGTGTATCCAAGAATTGTTGTTTTTTATATTATGTGTTTATGGGTTTACAGAAAATTTTATAGAAATAATTTTTTAATGAAATGTGAGATACATTTTTTTCTCATGAGTTTAATCTTCTTTAACAAGATGCTGTTAACGACGTGCTCGAAGAGCACGTCGCAATCCAATATACAGTGTGGATACCAAAAAGTTTAATACACATAAGAAAACATTGTATCTTGTATGTCGTTAACAGCAACGTGTCCAAATATCGTTATTATTTATTATATTAATATAGGTTTTCAAATGTTACAGAAAATTTTATGAAAATCATTTTTTCTTCTCATGTATATAAAACTATAATATACATTTTATATAGAATTGCGACGTGCTCAAAGAGCACAATGTGTATCCAAGAATCGTTGTTATTTATATTATTTATGGGTTTACAGAAAATTTTATGGAAATCATTTTTTTTTATGAAATGTGATACAATTTTGTTCTCATGTGTATAAAACTTTCTTCTTTAATAACGATGCCTAAATATACATTGCTGTTAACGACGTGCTCGAAGAGCACGTCGCAATCGAATATACAGTGGATCCCAAAAAGTTTAATAAACCTAAAAAAATATTGTATCTTGTATGTCGGTAACAGCAACGTGTCCAAATATGTTTATTTATATGTTATTGTGGGTTTTCAAGTGTTACAGAAAATTTTATGGGAATCATTGTTTTTCTCATGTATATAAAACTTTTAGGTATACATTTTATATAGGTTTGCGACGGGCTTTTCGAGCACGTCATCAACAGCAATGTGTATCTAAGCATCGTTGTTATTTATTATGTTATTATGGGTTTTCAAGTGTTAAAGAAAATTATATGGAAATCATTTATTTGTATAATGTAAAATAAAATGTTTTCCCCTGGATATAAAACTTTTTGGTTTACACTTTATATAGAATTGCTCTTTGTGCATGTCATTAATGGCAATGTGTATCCAGGCATCTTAGTTAATCCATTATACAGTATATCCCAAAAAATTTTTAATGCAAAAGCCAAGTTTATAAGTAGCAACGTGTCACTTGCTCAGAAAATTATTCACTTAAACTCCATTGTATGATGTAGTCTTAAGTTGTACATTTAATGGCATAACTGCCTCATATTGCATTAGAAAGTAATTCACATTTTAGTCGCGGCGCGCGGCGGGCTAACCGCTACCACCAACAAAAACAGAAAGCTTGCGTCAGTTTTTTTTATGTTATATATTTATTTAAATTTATTTTATTGTTTGTACGTACGAGATTGCTGAGGTATCATGGATGCAGGGCCGACTCGCTGTTTATTCCTGTTTTATTTGAATTATAAATATGATTCTTATTAAATTGAATTATTTTGAGAGTTGATTATTTAATTATCAATTAATTGATTAGTTTGGCTTTTAGGGCGGGACTAGTCTGAAATATTAATAAAATATGTTGTATATATTTCCAACAACAAGATATAGTTGGTTCACTTGTTACTCTCCAGTTTATAATTACGAGGATAGGATAAAAAGTTTGCGGCCTAACCTATAGTAGGCCCGATTTGCTTTCCTGTTGCTGGCAAATTTTCCACGGATATAGAAGTAATTGCAGCCACAAACGCCTATTTTGACGAGTTGGATAAATCAGACTACAGTGACGGTATTAAATCGCTTGAACATCGTTGGGTCAAATGTATTACCCTACAAGGGGACTCTGTAGAAAAATAAATTCTTATTCAGTCACTATTGTGTTGCGTTCTATGTTAGGCCGGAAACTTTTCATCCCATCCTCGTAAATATTTAATTCTAATGCGATAATGCCCCATTTCTTGCCCTTATTACAAATGTAGGAGTACTCCAAACGTTGTGCACAGTAAAGTGCTTATTTAATTTAATAATTAAAATTTTTTGTGGGATTGATTTTCACTAGTAATACCACTAGAGGTCAAATTATTTCCAGAAATTTTTTCGAGCTCATGAATATTTTGAAAATTTCCCGAGTCGCAGACGAGGGAAATTTTCTAAAAATATTCATGAGCGAGAAAAAATTTCCTGATATTAATTTGACCTCGCGTGGTATTCGGTAAGAAAATTCCACGCCGAATTATGGTTGAAAATTAAATATTTTTAAAATTTATTTTTCGTTTCTCAACAATGCAAATTATTTTCTCCAAGTCACCAGTGATTGTTGAGTTGTCATGGTAACTAAGTGATACCCTAACCTCGAATATAATTTCAGTTTTGAAGTTGTCAAGCGGCCCGACGTAAAAAAATGTTTCGCTGCAATTATTTAGGCCTTCAAATTGCTTACTTCTACTCATTGTAGTTGCATGGGAATACCATTAGAAAATAGAAAATAGTATATTCTTTAATTTTACGTAAGTTTTGAATAACTACAAGTGGTAGAAAATTGTTTTTCTGCGTTTTTATTAACATGCGTTATGAGCGCTTTAAAATGGTATGAAATTCATAACCAGCGTCAGCAAGCATCAATCGTAGGAGGCTGTGATCATTGTATTTTGACAGTTCAAAACATTAAATAACTCGCGTTTTGTTGCGATAAAGAATATTGCACAGCAAGTAAAACCAACAAAATTACCTATTTGTTTAAAAATGAATCGATTTGAAAATCATACGCTATGCAAAATATGCGTGAAATTGTCTGATGTAATGATCAATCATTGCACCATGACTTACTCGGATTAATAGAGGATTGTGGCTCCAACTTGAAAAACGAAAATTTGTTCCGAATTGTCCACGAATATTTGCACCTAAACTACGCAAAATTCAAAGTGCTGAATGGGAAAAAGGTGAATAAATTAGTGTCTAAATATTTTATATATTTTATTAGACATAGACACATAATTCAAAGCATCCAAAGTCCTGCATTTTCGCCATTAAGAAGAAAAGAAGTGGCCGAAGAATATAGAAAACACCTTAGCATTGTAACTAAAATGTATCAAAACTAAACCTATTATGTGAACAAATAAAAACCAGTCTGTCAAAAATTGTCTGTTATTATAAACGTCAAAAAATTTCCAGTATAATTCGCTGTTGGATACCCCACGAGAAAAAAATTTCAACTAAAATACCTCCGTTGCCATGGTGATCTGTCAAAAACACGTATTTTGATTGGTTCAAAATTACAGGTGTGGAATTTTCAGTATAATTTTTAAAATTTTTAAGTTCTTATTTAAAATTTATTCTAGAAGTTGCTCATGTCTTTGAGTGATGTCGTTACTGTCCCATGTGAAGCTGTGCGCTATGTCTTCGCATCCGAGAACTAATGGAAAATTTCTTCTCTGGCTAATTGCTATTATTTTTTTAATTTTTGATGTAGAAATCACTCTTCTTCGATTCATTTTAATATTTTTATTAATTTGTGGTTAAGTGCGATTAGCCGTTAATTTGTGGTCAATGGTAAATTGTATGAAAACAAGATCTTATAGAGAAAAATCAAAATCAATCAGTTGGTGATACAAAAAATACATACCGTCGATTTCGTACTATTTAATATAATAATTCTAATATTTCGTCTATTATACCGTTCTTCCCATAATCAAATTATAGTCGCGCCACTGTTTCCCTTTAAGTTCATAGGGCGTGAAAGGACGTCTTCTCTTCTGTATCAAATTCAGTATTCAATACTACAATTGTGGTTTCTAGCGGCAATCGATATAACGATGGGCGGTGTTTGGGAAATCTTCAGGGGTTTAGTTTTTCACTTTGTCGGATCTAGTGGATGATTTATAGTTGCTGGCCTTCAATTTGACGTATGCATGCCCGGTTAAATTGATATAGATCGAATTTTTTACCGGTTTCACATTTAAATTTTCAACGGGATACAATAGATATAATCCATACTATTGTTATAAGTGTTATTGTTAATAATGTTAAATCTAGTAGATGCAAAAATTTTGATTTAATTTTATGCTGAGATATATTATTAACTTTTTTATTGTAACTTATCTTCAGTTCCAAATTTTAATGTGTTAAATTTCTCGAACAACAATCAGCATTTCAATATAATAAAGCAACATTCGTATGGTATGAATTAGTATAAATAATCACAACTTTCTCCAAAGTCGTTGAAATTATTTTTAATTTCTTTATTTGAAATGATTATTGTAAGTTTTTACCGTTTGGAAAATCCTCTAAAGTTTATTTATGTTGCCATTTTCCAACTTCTCAATCCATGTTGTTGCTAAAGCATTTTATATTTATTTCAAGCTCAAGATGGAGATCTTTCAATTTCACCAATATTGGGTATTCTAATAGGAGCAACGTTAACAATAATCATAGTAATCTTCCTTATCATCGTCAGGATTAGAAAATCTCAAAACACAACGAACGGTGCCGCGTTAGAACAAAAAGTTTCTGTTGGTCCAACGCATCACCAAAATACTGTATCTTCTACGAAACCCTTGCTGAGAAGCGCGTCTCCCAGAGACATGGATGAGAGGGATCCAGATGTAATTCCTGCCAAATACGGTAAGTTCTGAAATTTAGAGAAAAAATTTGACACATTTCAGCTTTATTTGTCAAACACAATGTCTAGTCACCATACAAAACGTGGATATTCCAGAATAGGACCAGTTTACACAATGGTTTAAAGGGCTTTTTGGCGAATATTGTCAGTGTTATGGTATGCTGTAGGTTATAGAGTAGATTATTTTGCTCGAAAATGTAAAAAATATATTAAGGACGAAGGGACCGTTTGCGTACACAATTAACAACAACGGACAAAGAGCAGATCCTTGTAATATATCACTTTGTTATAGGTTGACACGTTGGAGCGCCAATAATTCTCTTTTTTATTTTTAGAAAGCTAGTGAGAATTATAAACTCTAGCTTTATCAAAAGGAAATTAATTAAAACTTATATAACATTTAGGTAAAAGAAAATTGTTGTAACCTTTAAAAAATAAGATTCAACATATAAAAATGAATTAGTTTATTCAGTAATTTTATGAAAATTCTAAGAAACAAATAAATATTGAACCTAAGCTGGTACCAACTATAAATTTATATCTCTAATATTAAAATTAGCCACTTCTGTAATTCTGATCTGCCGTACTTTGACAGAACCTAGTAACTATGATTTAGTAACTTTTCAGTAAAGCGCGTTTTCTAAAATTGCGTAGCCTTTTTTTACAAGAAGATATTTAGATAAAGTATGAAGCCATTTCTACATAATTTTTAACAAAGAATTTAAATAAACAATGAAAAAATTTAAAAAATAAGTAATTTGACTATTAATATGAGTTAGTATATTTTGTTCGAGGTAAATTATTTAATTTTCTAATATAAATAATTATGTAGAAACTAGTTATGTAAGTTACTAAATAATATATTTTTAATATGTTTTTAGTATAATAAAGTAAAGTATAGTAAATCACTTATAAAAAATAAATATTTAGTTAGGTCTCTTTACAATTTTATTTAGTGAAAATACAATTATCGAAAAAAAAACTAAAGGAGTATAAATATATAAATATACAAAAAAAAACTTATAACTAACAACAGGTAGAAATATAATTTCTACTGAGATATTTATTATAACGACATTTTTTACTCACCGTCGTGCACAGCCAGACGCTAGTAAATATTTTAAGATAATATCGGAAAATGAAGTTTTAAGACCTGATGTCGATATCGTCTGCTTACTTTACTCCCACTTCATGAAATTTCCCTATCGAATACTATTTTAAAATGTTACAACTTAAGAATCTCTTGAGTCACTTAAGGTTACGTCGTGGATGTGTAACGACTGGGCGTTCTACCAACTTAAGCCTTGGTTTCTTTGAACACTCCGTCGCGGTGAGCGGACAGTCCGTCGACCGCTGAGGACAGCAATTTTCGCCCGAGGTGGTTTGTTAAAAAATATAGAAAATGATACTTTCTCTATGTCTGTACGTGCTGTTTATGTATTATGAATGTAAACGAAAGGTACTAAAATGGTTGCAAATAAATTGTTTGCGTTGTTATTATTATTGGAAGAGGAAGAACAAGAGGAACTGGCAATTGCAACCGTCAAAGTTTCCAATAAGCCAGTGAATGAGTTGTTTTTCTGTCGCGATACAGAAGATGCCTTTAATATCACTGTGCAGCGGAGGCTTTTTGGAAATGAAACCAAATTTAGGGAGTATTTTAGACTTTCTACAGATCTTTTTGAATTCGTGTTGAGTTTTATAAAGGACATAATTTACAAGAAACCTAAAAATAAAGTCATGATGTCATCTGTATGTGTGAATTTGTTACTCATTGTTTTAAAATTAATAACAATATAGTCTCCGCACACGCCGACGATTCCGCTGATATCAAACTCAACAGATATCAATTGACTCTTTGCGACAAATCAGCGGCATGACGCCGTCCTGTTCAGCTAAGCGGATTCAAAAAAACCATTCCCATTTAAATACTCTGGTTGGATAAAATCGTCAAAACGCGACGGTTGACGGACTGTCCGCTCACCGCGACGAAGTGTTCAAAGAAACCAAGGCTTTAGCTGACTAAGCAGTTAACCATTGACGACGTGGAATGAATGACGATGATTGAATGTATGATGAATGGAGAGGAGTAGGGCATCTAAATAAGCTGCGCTTCAGTCTAGTAACTATCTAAATGGACATAAAGATGTGGCATAATAACATATATGTACCCATACAGTAAAAGTACTAATCTTTTATTAATTTTCAGGCTCTCCTGACGGGGAAAATGACAGACAGGCAGGTGTCGGTGGGACAGCAATTATTGGTTCTCTAACTGGATCGCAAACAGTTCCAGTGAGAAATATCTCAAAGGCACAAAATTACGCTCAATCCAATGTTCCGTCGCCGCAGTGGATTAGTCCGGTAACTAATGAACAGGTAAAAAAATATACGTATTTTTCATATATGATACATATCGGGCATAGTTAATTCCTTTAATACATCTTCAAAGGCGTCATGTGATTGCCAATATGGTTTTCAACGAAAATACGTATTTTCTGTTTTCTCTCATACATTAAAATGAAGGTTTTTAAAACATAGTTCACAAAGAAAGAGTTTATTATGATTTTGTATTTGAATTTTATGGCAGAATAATATTGATATAAGTAAAAGTAAAAAATCGTTTGATGTTTTGTATGCTATTTGATTTTATTTCAAGGAAAACTTATTAGTGTGAAAATATTGTAATAACCCCTTTTTTGAAAGGGTTGCTCCCCTCCAGTAAGGGATGAAATTAAGGGTAAGATATTTATACAAAAATGTACACTGTAGAAATGAAGAAGCGACGTGTCTCGGCGATTTTCCTAACAAGACTCCAGTAACGAGTTAGATAGGGGGGTAATACTTATGATGCTCACTGTATTGTAAATGATGGAAACCTTTTGATATTTTAAGTTTATATTTATGTTAAGGTTAAGTTGAGTAGCGCAAGCTAGACTTCGCCTCATAATGTTTATGTGCATTGTATATTACAAGCAAATAAAGGCATTTTATATTATTATTACTATTTGCTTCGCTCATACATGATTGAAAATTTTATTCCCGACTCAAGTTCTATATTAATTTCAATTTATTTTGCAGTACCACCAATACAACAACCCCGTAGCGATGGTCAGCGGGACCTTTCCCAGAGGAACACGACCGAAGGACTTGCATTTGGGCAACGGCAGTTCGACAATTCACAGCGTAGCCGACGTTGAACTCAACGGGATGGCCATCAAAGAAAAACTTATGGCCAATCGGTTACCAGAGAGTTGCGTTTAAGTGTTTTGTTTTATATATATTTTTTATCGATTAGTAATGAATATTTCATTGTATTGATGCTGGTTGGTTTACCGTCCACGAATAGGAATGTACAGATGGAAATTTTCTGTAGTTTAAAAAAAAGAATTTAGGAAGAGTGTCTAACTGTAACTTTCAGACATACTGTAGACACTTTAAAATAAATATTAATTATTGTGGGCGAGGGTTTAAAAAAATTAGCAATACTAACTTTATTTCACATAAAACAGACAACTGAAACGATTAACTATAATTGGAAACAATTAATTTCTGAAACAAACGATTTAAACAATTAAAAAAAAGTCTTGACGGCAAGTTAAGAATTATTTATGTTTGGAGAGAAAATTAGTAACAAATGAAATAAAATTCTAAAGAGTGTTTGTCTATTGTAACTTCTTGCTTCATTTTCAAAACTTTTTCACCTGTCTTCGATATTACTACTGCCCTCATAATTTTTTATCATCTAACAATTTCCTTGTTGTTATATACTTAATACTTTTATTGAATTATAACAAAAAATAAAATTTTAATCAATATTAACGGAGATATAAACTGAGGTCATGCTACTGCACATAACTTCTCTGTCTTCTCTTTTCTGATGTTTCTACCTTACTCATTCGTCTTAAAACAAGACCTGTATGGTCCTACGTCACTCCTTAGGTCCATCTTTTTTCTTCTTTGATTCTCCAGAGGCTTTTACAACGTCTACTTTGGTTCTACATCACTTCTTCGACTTTAAGTCTCCAAAAGCTTCTCCAACGTCCCCTGCCATCGATGAACTCGATTACATTTCTTTATTTTACTTTTCCAACACGTTTTGACGTGTAGTCGACAATTTCGGCTTCTTTCTTTATGTATGAAGTAATCGTTGAAGGTATTTATTCTCTTTCTTTATAAATTTTCACTTCTGACGTGTTTTCTTTTATATAATGACTTCTAGATTGTTCACAACCCTGTGAATAATAATGAAACGATTAAAATTAAATTGATTTTTTCCGTTAATTGGAAAAACTTTTATTCCATTCGAATTCTAATTAACAAACAATAAAATTTTCGCAACCAGCATTTTTCTGTTTTCGAAATCCAAATAAAAAGCCCAATTTAGATGGTCAATGAGCAATCTCGTAAAAAACATACAAATAAACCACATCTAGATTAAAAGCAATTAAATCTTTAATTGGTTTTAAGTTTCACCTCATCTTCTTAAGTTCCTGAAAGTTTAGTACATCGGAAAGTTTTATTTTGTGCAAGAACTTCTTAATGTTTTTTATTACAGTTCTTTTTAGAATCTGCCAATGGAGTAAAGCACTGTTTAAAATGCTAGAAACGAACTTTTATCTATTACTTCGTTGGTCGAAAACAAAGAACTTCATTTTAAATTCATTGTCATTTTGGTTCGTTACATATCTACTTCGTTCCACTTGTAATTTGTTTTTAAACACATTTCTAATCCCCTTGAGAGAGAGAAAGAGAGTAACAGTTTTTTAAATACCTATTTGCTTTTATAAAATTCGTTCGAAAGAATGCATAAAGGTGTATAGCTACGGAAACTCCAAACGTTTGAATATTTATTTAAAATATAAACTAATTTACAACAGAACTGTTCTTTAAATTTACATATTTCTTCTTTAATAAATTTCTCTTCTTCTGTTTATGTCTACCATCTTGTCTAACTTCATTAGTTCTTCTTTATCTTGTTTAATTGTATCAATAATTTATTTTTTGTCCTTTCTAATTCTGATTTGTTCATTTTTTTGCTTTCGTTATTTTTCTTGCTATTTTCATCCATTTTAAGAAAGAGCAACAGCAACCAATCTTCTATAATTCCTTCTTCTTTCGAAATAAAATTTCGACATTAACAAATTAAACTTTGCTACACAATATTACTCCTGGTGATTTTCCATATCAAGATGTCCTCTATATTGAAAGAACTCGAGGTCCTAATATGTCACTTCTTTGGCTTCTTTTCGATTGCTGCGCATGTTTTTTTTATTATAAATAACAACTAAATGACAGTTCACGCTGAATCACGTTAACTCTTTTCAAATTAAATGAATAATAATAAATAATAAGATATAAGCTTAACTTCCCCGGTTTTAATTTTTTTTTTTTCTATTTTAACTTTTAATATTATTTTGTCCTACAAAGTTTACTATTAAAATACTACTAGCACCAATTCTTTTATTATTATAGATTTAATTTATTTGTGAAATTTAAAATTTCGATTTTGTTCTGATAAATCAGAAGCATTAACTTTATTATATTTTGACATTGCACATATATAGAATTGATGAAAGTGGAGTGGAGTGTCTTATTATTTCCTTTTTTGCCAATTATGTCCAATTATGTAAAACTATAAAAACATTGCTACGAGAACCACCCATTACACTAGATTTTTGTGATATATATTACTGATCTACTGTAAATTCTAAAACAACAATTTCTATATCTTTGTTATTAACTGTTGTATTTGATATTTTTACAAATTTTTATAGTATCACGATTTACTTGTAATAAATATACCTAAATCGAAATACTTGATGATAAAATTAACATATCTTTGTTAGCAATAACTTTATTTTATGGAATAAACTGTAAAAACAAGATATTTTGTTATTACTTAAAGTTTTCCTACAGAAAATTTCCATTAATCCATCGAGTTTGTTAGTTTATGCGAATATTTAGACTGAAAATTGTTAACACTGTACATATTAACTAATAATACTATTAAACAAAAGGCTTAAATAATAAGTAAATCAATGGATTAAAATAATAACATTTTCAAAATAAATGGACAATCTTGTGTGTTGTTTATTTGTTTATAAAATGAATGTATTTTTCAAATAGTCTGTACTGATAGAAAATAAGATGAATTTTCCTGTATATTAAGCATATTCTATATGGACTGTTACTTATCGTTTTGTATTGATGGATAATTATAGACAGAATTCAATAAAAAACTAAATTTTGGATAATCTAACTGCCGTTTTGAAATATTTTTTACTGGTTTTAAAATCTTTATCAAATATTAAAAATATACCAGGATTTGAGTAAAAACGTATCAATTATATTATCTCAATATCAAAAGTCTAAAATAGGCAATATAAAAAAAAAACATATCTATAGAAACAAAATTCAGTAACACAATTAGAACTATTCTTATAAAAATAACATATCAAAATATTATTTATAAAATGTTTATAATTTAAAACTGAAAATAGTTTGGGAACTTTAAGTATTTTCTTTGAAACGAATAAACTAAAAGGTTTAATAAAAAAATTTTGCCGATTTAAATTGCCGAAAGAAATACTGAAGCGATCGGGATGCGATAACAAACTAAATAAAATTGAAAAAATGTTAAAAACTGCTCTGTGCGAGACTCGAACCCGCCCTCTGGATTGCCGTTCCAGCCCCCAGTTCCAGTTTTTAACTATATTTAGCATCCTAGTTGATTTGAGCATTTAGATGTCTTGGACGATGCCCGGGATCCAATCGAATACTTCGGTTTTCAAATTTCGATTTCTCCTATTTTCGACTTTTCAATTTTATTTTTCGATATATTGATTTTTTTAAATATTCGATTAGATTACTCGATTTTTTTGATTTCTCGATTATTCCTTTCGTTTTTCCGATTTTTCGAATCTCGATTTCTCGGTTTTTTAACCTTCGATTTTTTTATTGTTCGATTAGATTAGTCGAAAATTATTCGAATATTCAATTAGATTACTCGATAATTCGATTAAATTACTCAATTATTCGATTCTCGATTTTTTAATTCCATTATTCGATTTTTCGGTCTTCAATTAAATTACTTAATTATTCATTAGATTACTCAATTCATTCATTCCTTTCTTATTTTTCGATTTTACGATTTTTTTATTTTTCGACTAAATTCGAAATTTTCGCTCTTTTAAATTTTAATTTCTCGATATTTCGTTTTTTTTTTCGATTTTTCAATGTTGCGATTTTTCACTGTTTTTATTTCTTAGTTTTCGATTAAAATACTTGATTATTCGATTATTCATTCGATTACACAGCCCCACAAAAAAAGTGTTCAGACTTACCGATCTCAGAATTGGCCCTCCACGTCTGTAATTATCCCCAGGGGCCAAAAATGGCCTCTATATGACCTGAAAGGTGGATTCCGAGATGAGGTGTGGTTGAAGGTGCATTTTAAAGTCAAAGTGGGGCCAGAAAAATGGCCCGGTAGGGGCCGGAAAATCATGTTTCGGACGTTGCAGTGGCATCAATAATATTTTTATGTACTTTTGAATTCTGGAATGAATACTGTGCTCGAAAAGTTAATGGTCAACTGTAATTTCCCGTTTGGGACCGGGAAAATTGCCCCTTAGGGGCCGAAAAATCGTGTTTCAGACGTTTCAATCGCTACAGTGGTATTTTTATGTCCTTAATTATATCCTAGTTCACGAACTCAGACTGTGCTCGAAAAGTTTATGGCCAACTGGAATTCCCCCTTAGGGACCTGGAAAACGACCCTTTAAGGGCCGGAAAGTCGTGTTTGGGACGTAGTAATCAAGTGATATTCTCATGAAAATTGAGTGACATCGAGGTTTCATCACGCTCGGTTACGGCCTTAATTCAAGAAGTACTCCTATGTGATAGTTTTCCTCGGTATCTAAAAGATCCCGAATGTCCCATCCACCGATTCTAATGCGTCTTTCCTTTATCCATGTATTCCTCTACACTCGATTGTCAAATATAAAGAGTGGGTTGAACGATACAGTATAGAGTCCCCGACTTTACTTCCTCATACGGACATACCATATACGGGAATCTCTAATAAGACACAGTAGTCCCGATTGTGTGAGAAAAACTCTCTCAAATGAAGTTTAGGCTGGAGTTCCGGTAAACCAAGTCTCCGGAGGTACGTTTTCGTGATGGAATTTGGATTCCGCGTGCCTATAAAGCCCATGACGATTTTCGGTTTGTCTTTAGCATTGTGTTTGGAGAACCCTCTGAGACGACGTTTCGGTGCACTAGGTGTTCGGGGATCGTTTTCGACATGAAATATGGATCAAGAGCCCCAAAAAATACCCCTATAAGGTTTTTCGGCTTGTTTTTGTCAATCTTGGCAAGAAACTTCCCGGAGACGACGTCCACGTGTCGGTTTCAGTGCACCGGGTGTCTAGGGGGTGTTCGCCGATGTTAAATTTCAATGCAGCAACCCAAAAAACCTCCGAGCACCTAGTTTCTCTCCTTACCCGCGTGAATTTTGCGATAGTCCTCGTAGATAACGTTCATCGACATTCCTGAGCTCCAAGTCGGCTATGGTTCAATTTGAACATCATAATCGTAATCAGCGACCTCGAGAACCCTCAGAAACTCGATTTGGACCAATCTTGACTCTTCCACCTTTCAAGCCGTATAGATGCCATTTTTGGCCCCTGTGGCCGATTCTAGAGTTCGGAGAGCCACTTCTGCGTTCGGAGAGCCATTTCTGAGTTCGATATCGGATTCAGCGTCGAAAAATACATGGGAATACATATATCCGACCGGCAAGTCTGAACACTTTTTTTTGTGGGGCCGTGTTATTCATTCGGTTATTCATTCGATTATTTATTCGATTATTCATTCGGTTATTCATTGGTTATTCATTCGGTTATTCATTCAATTATTCATTCGTTTATTTATTCGTTTTTTCAATTCGATTATTTATTTGTTTTTTCATTCGGTTATTTATTTGATTATTTAATACGATATTTCTTTCGATTATTTTTTAGATTAATATGATTATTTCGATTATGCTTTTGGTTATTTATTCGATTATTGGATCATTCAATATTTCTATTCGATTTTTAAATTGTTTTCAATTTTATTCTTTTTATTTTATTTCATTTTTTTTATGGATTATTCTATTCCATTCCATTATTCGATTTTTTCTTTGGTTTATCGCCCCCGATCTATTTAAAAACAATATTGTTATAAAATAAAATAACATTGATTTATTTACAAGCCAATTTTTAAGAGAAAAATTATCTGTATAAATTTGGTTGTGTCTATAAGAAATGATATTGAAAAACACCCGTTAATTTTATTTTTTATCCAATATAGGAAATGTTTGTATTTTGTAATTATTATGTAAATATTATGTAAATAATCTGTGCATATCTGTACTACCATATCGAATAGGTACGAATGTTTGAATTAATAAACATAAATAAAGTAAACAATTGTTTTTTTATCACTTGTTGTTTAATCACTATTTTATATTTAAAGAGAGATAGAGAGTAATAAAGAGCGTTCAAGAAAGAGCGTCAAACAGAGAGCGTTAAAGAGAGTGCATCACAGGATAACACAAAAGCGAGGAGGTATTTCAAAAATGACGGGAATATTAAATTCCTAAATCAAGTTACATTAAAATTTTAGGTGTCACTACCATTAAGGGTAACGTAAAATCGACGAATTTAATAATCTGAATAACTCCTAAACGGTGCCAGATAGAAAGGATCAGCAACCAGGAATTTAATATAACTGTACATCCCTACGTTTGTGGAAATTTATAAATAAATTCGATAACTCTTATAGATAGGGAGCAACTGAGTTCACCCCTTAATTGCTCGTGCTTTCCTTTATACGTACCCCAATTTTCATCAAGATCTGGGAGAAAAAAAATTTTTGTCAAAAAATTTGGAAGGCACCCTTTCGATTTTTTTGAAAACATAAAAAATTATTAAAATTTGCATACGGATAGAGGGTCACATGTAGATCCTAAAAATACACTCAGTTTTTTTCTAACAGCAATATTAAAAAAGTTATGGTAAAAATAAAAAATTTCGATATCTCCTCGCGTTTCTATTATCCTGATACAAAGTTCCAAATTCGAAAAGATCTAATTTTGTCTACAAAATTTTGGTATGAGGATAACAGAAACGCGACAAGGTATTTGACTTATTTTTAAATATGAATAACTACTAAACGGCGCAAGATAGAGGCAAGCGGCAAAAGGCATTTTAAATTATCCGTCCGGCTCTACCTTTACGTGAATTTATGGAATAATTCGATCATTATTAACTGAGGAATTACCAAAAAAAAGTTAACCCTTATAGATAGGGAGCAACTGAGTTCACCCCTTAATTGCTCGTGCTTTCTTTTATATGTACTCCAATTTTCTTCAAGATCTGAGACAAAAAAAATTTTTGTCAAAAAATTTGGAAGGCTATACCCTTTCGATTTTTTTGAAAACATAAAAAATTATTTAAATTTGCATACGGATAGAGGGCCACATGTAGATCTTAAAAATACACTCAGTTTTTTTCTAATAGCAATATTAAAAAAGTTATGGTCAAAATAAAAAATTTCGATATCTCCTCGCGTTTCTATTATCCTGATACAAAGTTCCAAATTCGAAAAGATCTAATTTTG